TTCGCCTATTGCAGCATGATGTTGCTTGGGCTGGTGGAGAAACAGTACATTTCATTATCTTTCCTTTAGTCCCTGGAGTTCAGAAGGCGTGGCTGGCCTGGATGGGAGTGGACCGGGGACTTGTCCCCCCCCCCCCCTTCCTTCCACCCATCAAACGCCTGGGTTGGGGTGGAATGAGGACCACTTCGCACTACATCACCTATGGTTTCTCGTTACCAGTTCCTAACAATTTATCGTTTCTTTGTGAGTGTTCTCAACCACACAGTAAAACATGAATAGTTTTCTTACTTGATCGACTCCTTAGTGACTGGATCACCGCTTTTAATATGCCTTATGAAATTTCGTAAGGCTCGGCACGCATCGTTAGCGAAATCCAAGTCGCGAACCTTAACAGCACAGCGAAATATTTTAAGTGTAGCCTTGAAAATGAATCCGGAAAGGCCAATATTCATGACGAACCTCATTTGGATGAACTGGTAACAGCGCAAATGTCTCCTTGTCCACTCGATTGTTCTCGCAGATTACACGTACCCAGCCCTTTTCTGTCTTACTGTAATAATATGGTAGCTACATAATGCATACATAATCCATGCATACATAATCCATATCTGGACGTTGAAGGGGGAGTGTCAACGGACTTGGTTGTTAAAGCGGATTTGCGTTGCTTATAGAGTAAAGTGAGCCGACAACGTTCTGTCATACACGCAATGCCTAGACCGGCTACGGTTCAGTCTCTGCATGTCCTATCGTTCCGCGGACACACCCCTTCCATCGCTGAGATCAGGACTGTAGGAAGCAGCAGCCGCACCTGCTGTAGTACAGATTCTGCTTCTCGCTTGCACTTGTCGCATGTACCCATGTGTTAGTGGCCTCGTGCTGCAGTCTTACGTATGACTTACTTGGAACGTCTTTATTCTGAAATTTTCACTAATAAAAGGAATTCAGAATTGAAACGAATCGATAAAGAGACAAACCATTGGCATTATGCCAGGATCCAGTGAGAACAGCAACTTTCGATCCGCTTCTGGAAAGTCGGACTTGACCGGCACGAGGAAGTACGTTCCCGTGTTGCATTCTTCAGTACTTTCTGCAACAGCGTTTTTCATCCCAAACTTCGCCAGATATGTGTACAGTCTTGTTCGCTGCGCAAGGTGGGCGTGTTAGGGGGACTAGTTTGGCTCGTCGGTGATTGAGGAAGCTGGAAGGCGACAGAGTCCCCTGAACGCTCCCCCGTTTGCAGCTAACAAGACTGTTTTAAAGAGCAGGTTGCCTGGCGCATGGTCTTCACTTACAATCAGGATACAGTATCGTGATGTGCTGGAATGGTGGTGCCAGTACGACCCTCCCCTCGAGGGAGGGTTTCACTATGACCCTCCCCCCTCCCCCTTCTTTCACACTTACCTACCACCCAGCTTCCTACCAGCTTTTCCTAAATTCCCCCTCATTCTCCCTCATTTACCAATTTTTCATTCAAAAATTTTGCTGTCAAGCGTGGGGGAGGGGAGGGTATATAGTACACATGAAACAGGAAAAATCACGAAAAGTCAACAACCAGAAAAAATTTTTCCCAACGCGGCAAATTTCTCTCAAAGCCACATACGAGCCCCCTCTCCCAACAAAAACCAAACAGGACCCTCCCCACCCCAGCGGAAAAGTATGACCCCCTATGTGCTTCACACAACGGTGCTGTACCCTGCTTACAATGCTTGCTGATTGCTCCTTGTCTCTTCTTCCTTCCTTCCACTTTCCTTCTCAGACTCACTGATTTTTTATTGCCACAGATTAGGGAACCAAGCCAGACCCAACCCACACGGTTTCATATATTCACCTCATATTCAAAGGGGAGAGGGCGCATGAAGGGACGAGAATTAGAGCGCAGACATTGAAGTCTTTTCCACCAAAAGCTGTGGGCTCAGGATGGCATCATTGGAGGGAATGGCCGCCCCGACTGTGCTTCCCACGGCACCCCGTCACACGCCCTATCGTGTGCAGGTATGAGTGTACCATGAAAAAGTTGTCTATCCAG